ACGCAGTGTAAAGCCCAGCGCGCCGGGCAATGATATACTGTAATGTCACATCGCAATCTGGATTTACTATAAAGGGCCGCTGACGAGCTGGAGAGCAGTAAACACTGCAGCGAGGTGTATTTCACACTGAGCTGGTTTTTATGAAGAACACTTCACCGCCCAGGCACGGCACCGCGATGATGAATGGTGAAAGATGCATGACAAGCTTCATCATTGTTTGTAAATCTTAACTGTTCCTGCTCACTAACTCTGCAGGCAATTTTCAAAGACAGCGGGCCCCGACAGAAGGACAGCACAGGTTTCCTGAAGGTTATTCAAGTTGTACTTGGCCTGGGCCGTGCCTCTGAGGAGCCAAATGCAGGGAGAGTACGCTTCTCAGTTACTCGGCGTGGTGCCGCCTGAACGTGACCGTGGCCATGGAGGCCTGGGGGGGGGGGGTGGGAGTCAAGATTCAGACGTAGGAAACCTTCTGAGCGAGGATGTTGGGCGCTCTAACCCAAGGGCCCAAGTGTACGCGAGCGCTCCAGGATTTTCAGATAGAAATGCTCGCTGAATGAGTACTAAATGTGCAAGGGACACGCAGAAGACCAGGGTGCCACCACGGGGCAGGCAGGCCTGGGGCTCACTGTCACGCCTGATTCCCAGGAAGGCTACGTGAGCAGTGAAGACATAGACAAGCAATTATAGCCAATCCACTTACGCCAGGAGTTCAGGAATTCTTAAAAGCGTGCCTTCTAGACATTACTCTGTGTGTGTGTGTCCTGTTCTAGGCTAGAACCTTTAGCCAAAAAGAAAAACTACAGAACTGCTCTGTACCTTTAAAAAATAATAGGTGAAAGATATGGGCTTGGTGCAATAGCGTAGTGGTTAAAGTCTTCCCCTTGCATGCACCAGGATCCCATACGGGCACCGGTTCTAATCCCGGCAGCCCCACTTCCTGTCCAGCTCCCTGCCTGTGGCCTGGGAAAGCAGTCGAGGACGGCCCAAAGCCTTGGGACCCTGCACCGACGTGGGAGACCTGGAAGAGCTCCTGGCTCCTGGCTTCGAACTGGCTCAGCTCCAACTATTGCGGTCGCTTGGGGAGTGAACCATCAGAAGGAAGCTCTTCCTCTCTGTCTCTCCTCCTCTCTGTATATCTGACTTTCCAATAAAAATAAGTAAATCTTAAAAAAAATTTTTAAAAAATAGGTAAAAGATTAAAAAAAAGCCATTGCACAATAAGTCATTGACAGACTAGGCCAGGAGTAAACTAGTATTATTTCTTAAAAACTATCCAGAGGAAATTGGCAAGTCTTTCACTCACACTGATTTAAAAATAATGTCCCAAACAGCTGTGTGAACACTGCACAGCTTATGGCCACAGACAAAAAGTCAGGACTAAAACAGCCCACGTTCGTGTTTGCATTCATTCACAGCTGAAGTTACTTAATGTTACAATGCTTGCCCTCATGTCGGTCGCAGCACACTTGTATTCGATGGCCTTTTGTTAAAACAAATTCAGGTACAACCACAACGGTCAGGAGGAGAAAGGCGATTTTACTGTGCTCACGAAGTCAAGTTTATCCCGCACTTGGAGACCAGCGACAGAAAATGACACCACCCCGCATGAGGCTCTTAGGTTTCTGGCTATGACGTCAGTGGGCTACAGGAAGATATTCCCCCCATAGCAGGAACCATGTCATCACAAAGAATAAGCTCCAATCATGCCCATGATTCCCTGTCTGTCCTGTGGCAGTGCCAGTCTACAGCCCCGGGCAGCCCTACGCCAGCTCTATCACCCCTGAGTTGCCATGGGAAACCAGGTGCTCCCTTCTCACAGGCCCTGACCCCCTGTGCTTCAGCCAACGCGGCTGTTGAAGAACTAAGCAGGCTTCACCCATGTGCTTCTAGAACAATGTCTGCCAGGCACTGGAGGAGGAGCTACGCATGTGCTTGCCAGGGCAGGAAGGGTACGAGGCAAGCGCAGGATCTGTGAGCAGAAGCCACACCCCAAGAAGTGAGGCAGAGACTGAGTGTCCAGGCCAGCACCTCCTCTTACACACCGGGGCACCGAGGCTCGGAGGGAAGCCTCGGAAGGGCCCTCCCAATCCCCAGTGTCCTTCACTTAGCAAACATTCTACAGGTGTGATAGATGCAAATCCATCTTCAGCAGCCAGCACTGTGGGTTAAGCTGCCGCTTGTGGCAGCGGCAATCCGTCCCAGTTGTGTCCTAGCTGCTTCACTTCCCATCCAGCTCCCACACAATGTGCCTGGGAAAGCAAAAAAGATGACCACAGGGCTCAGGCCCGTCACCCACGTGGGAGGCTCGAGGGGGGGGTGGCCAAGCTCCTGGTTCCATGTTGTGGCATGGCCCCGTCCTGGCCATTGCGGCCACGCTGGGAGTGAACCAGCACAAGGGAGATTCCTCTGGATTCCTCTTCCTGTCCTTGTGGCTTTCAAATACAGAATGTCTTTTAAAAACACCTTGTAATGGAATTGTAAATCTTTAAGGCTACCATTTACGAATGAATAGTGTGCCTTTAGAATCCGCAGGTTCTGATGAGCTAATTTGGAGGATTGCAGTATACACGTGCTTAGTTCAAGATAGGGCTAACCTTAGGCCCCTTGGAAATGGATGTCTGAGACACACAGATGTGTCTTCACATGACAGCAGAGGTGCTCGATGCCGTGGCACCTTTCCGTAACTCCTTCTGTGACCACACACAGGAACAGAGCTGCTCCCCAACCTGGGGAGGGCGTTTCCCCAGTCTGCACGAGGTCATGACCAGTACAGCTGACCTTGACATCAGGCATGCGCAGGTGCGCTGACCTACAAAAACCTGCCCCTTGTGCTAGAATTACTACCTTAGTCAAGCAGGTTTCCCCGTGTGTCCCCCTGTGCTCCCACAGGCTGATCTTACTGCAGCCATCAGGGTGATCCTAAAAGAGCAAAGGGACTTTGCCCCAAATGCTCCCGGGGCTTCCCAGTTCGCTGGAAATCAGCAAAGAGTCTTGCAAAAGCTTCTATTGTCTTATAGCCCCCCGAGTTCCTGGCTCCTCTGAGACCCAGCTGGCAGACCCAGCACTTCTCAGGGTATGAAATGGCGCCAACCTTCTGCACATACGAGATGGAGCAGGGCAACAGAGCAAAAGGTCGGACTTCCTGTGCGATTCTTCTCCACCTCAATTTTCTATATGTTCAGTAGAACCCCCAAGAACAGGGAGGCCTTTCTTTACCTTCTGAAGAAATGCACTGATTGGAAAGACCAAGATTATCTTCACCGAAGCCGAGAAACATGAATTCAACGTAAAGGTTTATAGTGAAAAAGAGAAAAGATGGGCTTCTAAAGCATTACATCTTACGAAAACTTTTCAGATGTCTGAGCTCCCACTTAGAATAACGTATTCGTTCAAGCAAGCACCCAAGTCACTTTGACAGAAGTACTGGATGGTTCTAGCTGCCCTAGCTGCCCTTGGCTGGCCCTGCAGTGACAATGCACACTGCTCCCCCACATCCCCACGCACCGCATCCCAGCCCTGCCTCGGCCCTGATGCCAAGAAGGACCAACCCCGACCCCGCAGGGCTCCCCTTGTGCCAAAGCAGAAGACAAGGGTGAGTCTTGCTCCCAGACACTGCCTGTGGTGTGTCCTCGCTCCCTCACACGATCCCCCACCCCTTCCCCAAGGGCTTTGCACCCGTTTTAGGAACCACATATTGAGAAGTCATCGAGTCGCATTTCTTCCAAAACATGAGCTGGGATCTGCATTTTCTGTGAATTCGCGTTCTCGGCCGTACTAAGACTTCATCGGAATTCCTCTCATCTGACTCCCTCGCTGTGCAAGTGTCGGGCCTCTTGCTCACGTGCGATGAGTCAGAAGGGGAATCAGGGAGGTGAGCCCTCTTTCCGATGCATTTTTACTCCCAGCTGTGCAGGGACAGCTGGCCTGTTCTTGCCCGGACGGTAACCTCCTGCTGTCTGAGTTGCCTGCTTTCCTGCCATACATTTAAACACCTCCAGCTCCTCTCCAAATCCATTTCTCTCTGCTCTAACAAATTCCCTCTTATATTTTTGTCTTAGCCCTGCTCCAAATTCACTCCTTTGTCTCAAGAATGACAGCGGGTCAAGCCACTACCTACCCTTTAACATCCCATCTCAGAGCATGGGTTCGAGTCCTCGCAGCTCCATTTCCAGCCCGGCTGCCTGCTAATCTGCCTGGACAGGCACTGAGGATGACCCCTCGTACCTGTGCCCTGCCATGCACATGGGAGACCTTAGATGGAGTCCTGGGTCCCTGGCTTTGTCCTGGCCCAGCGACGACCATTTGGGAATTGAACCAAAAGATAGGTTATGTCTTTCTCTGCACTCTGCATTTCAAAATTCATAAAAGAAATCGTTCAACAAAAAGGCATGAGCTCCCGACAGAATCATGGTGTTGAGGAAACAGCCTTCTCTCTCTCTGCACTGCAGTTAATTCTAGCAGATCCGTTTCTCTTCCAAGTCCCTCACCCGTGTCTCAGCTCTGTGTCTCTTCTCTTTATCCTAGATGTTCCGGGGAGAAATTTCCCAAACAGGACTGGGCAACACAACAGCCAGAAAGACCCTCCCTCCCTCTGCAGTGCAAACGCTGGGGAGAAGGTTAAAGCTGAAGTTGAGGAATTGTGTATTTCAAAAGGCTCTGGTTCATTAAAACAGTCATTTAAAAAAAAATTTAAGGCCATTATATCAGAGTTATTTACATGTGTGACGGCGCAAATTCTTGAAACCCATTTTATTCAAAAAACGTTTCATCGTGTCTTTGTATTCCCTCTCTACTGAAAAGAGGTCTACAATTTCCGACTGAAAACTCTGGGAAAGTCAACTCACACACACACACACACGAAGTTATCATCTGAAGTTTCGGGTTGGGAGTCTCTCACCTTTCTCTTGTCACTCTAGCCATTGAATAACTCAGGGCTTTTCCAGGCCCGGTGTGGGGGGAAGAGGGGGCAGCCACAGTCCACCCCAAGCCCAGACACTTACCACTCGCTTTGGCTTCCGTGTAGGAGGGGCCGTCCTCAAAGGTGAAGAGCTGGGGCACGCTCTGGCCCAGGTACGAGGGAGGCGGGTAGTAAGAATGCATCCTGTATTGGGAACTCACGGGGTGGCGGTTCTCCGGATTCTTCATCTGCTTAAAAGAAAACAGAGCAAGGGAACACATTGAGCCAGAGTCGGGCTTTGCAATTCCTACAAAAACCGCTTAAATGTGGGACACGAAGAGAGATGCCTGTGTTGTCAGAATCCTACGTGAGCACCGGTCTGAACTCCGGCAGCTCTACTTCCGATCCAGCTCCCTACCAACGCACTTGGCAAAGCAAGGTCCAAGTGCTCGGGCTGCTACACACACACACACACACACACACACACACACACACACACACACACGCCATGGACAAAGTACCAACGCACTTGGCAAAGCAAGGTCCAAGTGCTCGGGCTGCTACACACACACACACACACACACACACACACACACACACACACGCGCGCGCGCGCGCGTGCGCGCGCGCGCACCATGGACAAAGTTCCAGGCTATAGCCTGCCCAGCCCAACCTAGCCATTCCGGAACTGAGCCACCATGTGGAAAATCTCCTGTCGCTCCCTCCCTCTCTGTACATCTGTCTTTCAAACAGATCAGTCTTCTAAAAAAAATTTACCCGATTCATCCGTACTTTTATCACCTTAATAGAGAATACCTATTAAATTTCAAAGTACCCTATCCCATGCTTTTCCAGTGGACTGGGCCCAGATCCTTAGAACCATATACCCCAAAAGTGTCATTTCTAGCTTGGGGTCGCCTCAAAAATGCCCCGACTCCATTAACAAGCAGGTAGTGGAGAGGAGAGAGCTCTGTGGGCAAGCCAATGGGACCTGCCTTGCTTCTACCACCATGGGGCAAGTTGCCAAGTCTCCTGTTCCCCCCCCCCCCCTTTGTGCAAAGGTAGGCTTACATCTTGGGGACCTGATCATGTACCCACGAGGACAATATTGCAGTGACTGCTGAGGAGGGGTATTTGGCGCAGTGATTATCTGGGTTGCACGCCTGCACCTGGTACAGGAGGGCCTGCACACTCCACTTCCTGCCAATGAACACTTGTGTAAGCGGAAAGGCCACTTGTGATGACCCATGTACCTGGGTCCCTGACACCTGCATGGCACACACACCTGGTTCATTCTGCAAATGACTGGAGCTGCGCTGATCCAAAGCCAAGGAGCCAGGATCTCCTTCCAGGTCTCCCACACAGGCACGGGGGACCAAGGTGGGCACGGGGCTGGTCCTTCCACAGATAATTTTTACAGGCAAACTTCCTCTATGGTTGGGGCGGGTGTTGTGGTGCAGTGGGTTAAGTTGTTGCATGCAGGCGATGTTCTGTATTGGAATATGGCTCCCGTGCTTGCTGGTCCAGCTGTCTGCTAATGTGCCTGGGAAGGCAACAGCATCTGGGTTCCTGAAACCCATGTGGGAGCCTGGATGGAGTCCCTGGCTCCCAGTACTGGCTGTGGTGGGTATCTGGGGAATGAACCAATGGATTAAAAGTCCCTGTTCCTCTTTCTCTTGTGCCTTTTTACGTCAATGAAACTTACATACGTTCCCCTGAGTTGAAGGTGCTTCTTGTGGACTCAGTGGCCATGCAGATTTGCAGTGGCACTACGAAACTCAAATCCACTTCGAACTGGAAAGCTTCTCTCCAGTTAATTCTACTCCCTGAGAAACGCACGCAGGAGCCCAGCCCAGGCCATCACAGTCATTGGCGGAGTGAACCAGTAGGTGTTACGGCTTCTATCTGCTGGCTCACTCCTCCAATGGCTACAATGGCCACAGCCAGGCCAGGCCAGGCCCAAAGCAGGAGGCCGCAGTGCCCTCAGGTCCCCACGGAGTGGCTCTCGCATCCTACATTATCTCCTGCTGCTCTCTCAGGTGCATTAAGAGGGAACTGGACCAGAAGCGGAGCAGCGGGACCTGACCTGTGTGGGTTTGGGATACTGTTTGTTGTGTGAGGTGGTTTAAACCACTGCGCCACGAGGCCTGTCACCCTACGCCTTTCCAAAGCTCCCCGTGTGATTCTAACACAACACCAAGGTTGAGAAGCAGGCATCCACTAAGACCTTATCTTCCACGCACCTGACAACTAGCAGGTGCCAACATCATCCCTCACTGGTTTTAAAATGTCAAGTCCAGTCAACTGCTGCCAAGCTCAATTCAATGTTATTTGAGGAGAGCCCGGGAGGAATGGAAGGGATCTAGCTTGTTCATGACTGGAAAAGACACACAATTTCACACCCAAGCACACACTTATTGTCCCCATTCATTCTTCTAATAAGGACCTGGAAACATGTTAGATGTACAGAAATATTCTATTTTCCCATGAATCCCCAAGATCACCGAACTATAAAAAAAGCTTCCAGGGAAAAAGACAAGCATTCAAGGACTCAGGCTCCCCCATCATCCATCACTTTAGCCACATCCAGCTCAGAGAAGGACCCACCAACGTTGGGCCACATGACACACAGCACCCACGGGAGAAGGGCAGCCCCACATGCTTCCCAGAGCACGCAGGGGACCCTGGAGCCAAGTTAGATCAGGGCTGTGAGTTGCCCCAGAGGTCCAGGGAAAGGTGGGGCAGGACACAACGGGAACCTGGAAACGAGCTCTCCCACCCTCCGGACTCAGCATCACCCTCATCATCACCATCACAACTTTGCTCAGAACGGCAGACAGAATGGGCAGATGAGCAAGGCTTTGGAATCATGGTTTTAAACTGGGGGCCAAGTGGCCTCCCTGAGAGGCCATCTGGCAGAATCTGGGGGCCCTTGCTGACCACATCCGCAGGGAGGGATGTGCAAGGAGCATCCAGCAGTGAAGTTCAGGGGGACACTGTCAGGACAAGCCCCCACCCAGTCTCACCCATGTTGAAACAGCCAGCTGGCAAGCACCTAAGTCCCCACTCCTTCCGGCTACAAGATAACAGCCAAGTGCCCCCAAGGGACAGATGCCCAAGGGTGTGGGCGGTTTACCCCGTGGGGCCCAGTCCCACCAGGCTGCTGTGGACCAGGAAGGCAAGGACCTTTAAGGGGAGGGTTATGCCACAGATGACTTATTCATCACAGCCTCCAGCCATCAGCCCCCAAACCCGCATTTAGAGGGGGAACCTTCCGTCTCTGCTCGAAGTCCCCATCTGTCCAATCATCTCAGGTTTATCTCTTTTAACGATATTTTTTTGCATGTACTCGAGCAGAAACAGAGCAAGCGAGTCCCCGTCACATCCCAGCCCCATCAAGGCTGTGACGCCCTGCCTGGCTGACTCCACACACCGTCTCCCACTGCCCTCTTCTTCCCTCTAGGGAGGCGAGCCGAGGGCAGAGGCAGAGGCAGCCGGGACTCCACCAAGCCACCTTTCCCACTGAAAACAAGGATGCCTGCCTCCTATTAAAATGACTCTTGCCTTTGATGTCCAGCATCTCGTCCCGTTCCTGTCTGCTGTGGCAGTCTGAACATGAGGGGCCATGGAGCCCAAGCCACACGCCCCGGAGTGTGTCAGCAGCACCGCACTGCACATACCTTGATGGACAAACTTAATTAACCTCTGTTACTCTGTCCCCACCTACTGTTGTAGATGGAGCCAGTGACCCCGAAACAACACGCTTCCGTCAGGATCTCCACGGCGCTGACACCAAGAGATATAGCCCCATCAGCAGTATCGGGCCAGAAGGGCTGAGAAATAGGGATTCTATTCATGTCACACATGAGCTGTCAGAAACATTAGGATACTTTTAGCATAAATCAGTAGTGTGAAGGCTATCTTATGAGGACTGAGCATGACAGACTGCCTGCAGGGGCAAGGTGAGGCTGCTGGGCTGGTGGCGGGTAGGGTGGGGGACGTGGGGGACCCACACCTGCCAGTGGCTAGCACGTACACACACAGGCTTCCCCCAGCATGGGGTCAGAGATGCAAATACAGGCTGTGGGGGGGCCCGCTGCTGGGCAGTGTGGACAGGCCCACCCCACTCGGAGGTGCCAAGATGCATAAACACATCCTTAGGACACAGGGAGGGGCAAACACCTGCTTCTCTACTCTGTGTGTTTGTGTGTGTGTGTGTGGCACAGAGGCAGGCCAGAGGGCCAGTGGACTTAGCAAGAATCTAGAATCTCAAGGCTTCCAAGAAGGCATGATGCATGCTGCCCCCTGGGGAAGACCAACCTACCCTCCCGCGGCAGCCAAGCTGCCCTCCTGCCCCCGGAGCTGGGGGGCTGCGAGCAGGTTGGCATCTCCCTGGGTCTCTTAACCCACAAAAGAGGGTAAAGCATTCTTGACCGGTTATGGGCGAAATGGATTGCAGGACACAAAGTGGCTCTCTGGCCACTCGGCAATGTCTCTCTCACACCCAGTCAGGGAGTTAGTGGGGGAGTTCGGTGGTCTTTCTAGACCTGCCACCAAGCTCCTGGACCGAAAGCTTCCCCTTTACACACTTTGAACTACAAGTACAGAAGCCGCGTGCTCACGGCTGGAAGGACGACTCCGTTCTCGGCCATTTCCCTGCTGCCCAAAGAATAGTCAGTTGGAACGGCAGCTCTCCTACCGTTCCCGGTCTGAGACATACACCTAACACCGGAAGGAAGAGGCAGCCAGAGGGTCACTTAAACTCTTCAGACACAATTACAACGACATCAGCATCCTCACCCAGGACAGGTTCACAGCTGTCACTTAGGCACTGGCACCGTGGCCCAGAATGCGAAGCCACTTGTCATGGCAGCATCCCATGCTTCAAGTCCTGGCTGCTCTGCTTCCAACCCAGCACCTGCTAACCTGCCTGGGAAGGCAGTAAAGGATGAATGGCCCAAGTGTTTGGGCCCCTACATCCATAAGCGAGACCCTGGAGGGAATCCTGGCTCCTGAATTCAGCCTGGGCCATCCTTGAATTGCAATGGCCGTTTGGGGATGGACGCTCCCCTCCCGTGCCTTCCCCTGCCCTCTCCTTGAGCTCTCCTTTTCTGTATCACTCTTTCAAATAAACAAATATTTTAAAATCCTGTGATCTACCAAAGATATTACGGAAAGGAGAATGATGGCGAAAAATTGGTGGAAATTGGCCCCAGCGTGGTAGCCTAGCAGCTAAAGTCCTCATCTT